CTGCCTGGAAGCCGGGCCGCGGAGCTGAATGAAGATGCTTCTGCTTTTCCAGGTAAGCCTCTTACATGTTGATCTTCTCTCTAAATTTGCACTAAAAATCCTTAGTCTTTGTGAAGATCGTTATAGTAATGGAACTTTTCTGAACTAAGTGCTCAGCAATATAGAACTCAGGACATAAATTTCCTCCTAGTATTTGCCCTGTCACAGCCCCAAGTGCTCGCCATAAAGATTCCTCCAAGTTGTTTCCTGTGCAGATTTAACAGGTTCTGCCATTTTACAAAAGGGAGAGCACGCTACACTTTTTGGACTGGCTTTTTTACTTCCCGTGGTATTTTTTTTGTTGATGGTGGTGTAGTTCTCTGTGCTAGGGAGGGGCCACAGTTTCTTGAGCGAATCCTCTACTATTTGCGCTGTTTTCAGGTTTTTATTAAAAATAACTCTGTCATGAGCACCCAGCGTTCGTGTTTTGGGCCATTTATACTAGTAATACTGTAGTTAGATTGCTGAACTTCAATTGTTGGATGAGTGAGTGTGAAATTTTGCCATTTTAAAATAGCAATTTTTCTCCCCAAACGGTGAATCAGTATAAACTTCACCCAGGGAAGGAGAGTCTTGGTTTCCCCAAAACTCCCTAGGACAAAGTGTTCAGGCTCTTCATCCTGCTAATATGGTGGGGGAGGCCGGGGGTGACCTCGTGTGCCCATTTGCCAGGTTCAGGCCAGCGTCTTCTGCGTCTGTTGGCTCTGTTGCCTGCCCAAGTATTTTGGCTGTTTTGCCATTACGTTGAGCCTTTAAAAAATAGATTCTTGGATTCAAGACTTCTTTGTAGGCTAGGAAAATCAGCTCATTGTTTGCCTTATGTGACGAAACGTATCTTCCTTTAATTATTGCTCTCCTTTGTGGTATTTTTTGCTGCTCATGAATTTAATCACTCAAGTTAATTTTTTCATTTCTAACTGTTGAGTTTGACATTCTCAGAAAGGCCTTTCCTACTCCAAGGTCGTAAAAATATTCATTTATGTTCAGATTTTATACTGGCATTTAGATATTGAGTGAATCGGGAACATAGCTGACAGGAAGAGAGCTTGTGTGCGTGTAGCAGAGACCAACCTGGTTTTAACCAAACCCGCTAACAGGCCCCAAAGCAGCCGTTTCCCTCCGGGGATCCAACTTAAGGCAGCTTGTGGGCCCCTGTGTCCTGCAGGAAGTTCGATAAGGCAGAGCACCACTTCTCAATGGCCATCCAGCACAACCCCCAGAAGCCCCAGTATTACCTTTACCGGGCCAAGGTCCGGCATCTCCTGCAGAACATTTTGGGGGCCCGCCAGGATGTTGTCACAGTCCTTCTCCTCGAACCCAAGCACCCGAAGGTTTGTTCCTCCTGGGCCAGGAGGGTGGGCACCATACCCCACCACACACACCTCCCACCCTGGCCTAAAATTCTACCCGTCCTGAAAAATCTCGTTCCCTACCAATAAGAGCCGCTGGTGCTGGAACATTCACTGTGCCAGGCACTGTTCTGACCTGGCATCACTGTTGCACCTCCTCTAGCAGCCTGCAAGACAGGTAATGTTATTACCATCCCAGTGTGCTCGCCCCAGGTGCGCCGCAGAGAGGTCAGACCCTCATCTGTCTGGCTCCAGAGTTCATGCTTGGGCGGGCATCAGTAATCGTTTTCTGAACAGGTTTTCTCGCAAGGCCTCTTGATATCTGGAACAAAGACCCTTGCCCTTTATAAACAACTTGTAAATCCTTCCCCTGCAAGCCCTAAGATGGCCAGTAGGAGTCTGCCAGGGCAGGCTGGCACGGCACCTGGCCTCTGGCCTGGCCCACACTTTGCTGTTCACCCCCTTTTGGCAGCTGCCCTCCATGCTGATGAGCCTCTTCCCGGGCATGTCAGTGAAGGAGGTGCTTAGCAGCCAGGTGGCCCACCTGGCCAGGTTGCAGCTGGATCGGATGAGGGAGAACTTCCTGAAGGCCGACATTTCTCAAGGCATCGTGGGGTAAGCTCCTGGAGCAGGGGCCACAGGCAGGAGCGGGGAGTGGCAGGGGCTCCAGGCTCCACTGGGCCCAGCTGCCTCCTCGGGCCACTGCCCTGCCTGGGGTATAGGAGGCTCAGTGTGGGGCCGTGGCCGCAGGCAGCTCAGGGAACGGGAACTAGAGCGCCAGAAGGCACGGTCCCTGTGGGAGCAGGAAGAGCCCTCGCAGGATACCTCTGAGGACCTAGAAGCCATTGCGAAGAGTCCGCAGACAGAGTCAGAACACCCTGAGGAAGAGACCCCGGCCTCCGAGGTGGAGGAAGAGGTGAGTGGGCCACACGCCAGCCTGGAGTCCTTGAGGCCCTGGGCAGAGGGGTGCAGGGCACCCCAGGCCACAGCTGAAGGCTGCAGGCCGGCTTGGGGGACGGGGGGTGGGGGGTGGGGAGGGGCGGTCTGCCGCCAGCCAGCTCTGTGACTCGGGCAGGGTGGCAGCGTGCTGGGGCTGGCTCGGGGCCAGGCAGGAGCAGCTCTGGGGGAAGGTGAGGAGGCCGCACCCCCTTCCAGATGCCTCCCCGCACCTGCGTTCTGCACACTGGTCAGAGTTGTAATGCTTAAATGCATCTCTCAACACTTTATTGGATGTAACAAATATAGAAAGGTATAGCAATCCTAAGGTAAATTTTCACAAACTGGATACGCTCATGAAACCATTACCCACGAACCCAGGAAGAGCAACCTCCTGGCTCTTGGAAGCCCTCCCGCCCTCGCTCAGCCCAGCTCAGCCCACAGGCTCCCGGCCAGTAGGTGGACGCGTGTGTCCACTGGCCCCGGCTCCCGACTTCAGCAGCTGAGCATCCAGGTCGCCTGCCGCCTCACTGTGGGGTGCTGTGGACGCCCAGGGGACCTGTCCCCTCTACTGTGGGTGGGCAAGCGCCTTCGGAGGGGTCTCTGCCAGACGTAGATGGAACACCACGTCCCTGGCCGTAAATGGGAAAAAGCGAGCTCTCGTTCCTCTAGCTCACAGTAGAATACAAAACCAAAACTTTGATGCATACCCCTGCATACCCCTTTAAGTCGTGGGGGCTCCCTCCCTCTGGGAGACCTTGATCTGGGGCCTTGGCAGCCTCTGCCCTTGCCACACCCCTGCCCCCACACAGCCCCACAGTGTGCATGTGAGCTGGCCAGAGGCGAGCAGGAAGGGCCTGGGTGTGGAGTCCTACAGGTCTGGGTTCAAACAGCTTCGAACCCTGAACCTCTGGGCAGGTGCTCAGGCGCCCAGTTTGGTTTCCTGCCCACAGAAGTGGTGATAGCGGCACGCGGGGAGGATGAAGCAGACACTGCAGAAACCTGAGCTCATTTGCATTTTGTAGGTGGGGAAACTGAGGCTCGTGTCCTCTCCTGACTGCCTTTCTCACAGCACTGTGCTGCCTAGCCTGGCCATTCTCCTTCCAGTCCAGTCAGCCTCCCCCACCCAGTCTGACCTGGCAGCCTGGAGAAGCTCTAGGCTGGGGACAACCGCCCCGCACAGGCCCGGAGCCTGCGGGCCATCCAGAAACCCCGCCACCGCCCAGGCCCACCACAGCCTCAGCTGCCCCATCTGCCTTCTGCCCTAGGAGAAGCCGGCGCCTGCCCCTGCCAAGGTGGTGTCCCTGACTGACAGCTACCAGACCTCCTCAGGCTCCAGCCTGTGCTGTAAGTCTGGATGCCCCTGCCAGAACCACAGAGCGGATGAAGGTCAGGGGTCAGAGCCCCTTGGCCTGGGAACGAGATCAGGCTCTGGTGCACAGAACAGTGATAAATTGGGAGTAATTGAGCCCAGCCTTGAGGGTGCGGTGAGCCCGTGTCCAGACAGCCTGAAGTGCTGGTGCCCGGGTCTTGCGGTAAAGCATTCATAGTGACGCCCACTCTGCCCTGGTGATCTCCTGACAGGCCTGTTCCTCTCTCGGCCCCTTTGGCTTTTCCCTGAAATCAGCCCATAAACTTTGTGTGTCTATCAGGCCTTGACCCCCAGTACCACTGGGCACCAGCTGAGAGGGGCAAAAGTGAAAAACCCAGGACTACGGCTCCAAACAGTTCCGGGGGCAGGCGCGAGCAGGTCACAGGATGGCAGCAGCAGTGCCCGGCCTCCTTCCTGCCAGTCTCTGCCATGCTGAGAGAACACATGTCCTGGGGGTGGGGTGGGGGCTGGAGGTGCTGTTACTGGACTGGACGGCACAGCCCATGTCCGTGGGGCTCTCGGTCTGAAGGGAAGACGATGTGCAGTAGACAGAGCCAGGACAGCAGAGGCGTGTAGGGGACAGTAGGCAGAGTAGGGGTTGGCCACCTTGGCAGGGCAGGGAGGGGCAGAGAGCAGGGGGCTGCTGCAGGTGGGAGCTGTTGGTCACGGTGGGAACAGAGGGCAGGGGCAGCCAGCGGAGTGACCAGGCCAGGCGAGTGGGCCCTCATCTCACAGCCCGTGCCCACCTGCTGGGTGTGGTGGCCTAGGAAGACTGGCCGGGAGTGAAACTGGAGGGCCTTCCGCTTTGATCGGGGTGAGGCCGAGAGGCGTCCTTTCCCTGACGCTGTCCAGGGAAGGCGGCCTGACAGGTGTCCCTGACGCCCTTCCCAGTCAGGACTGCGTACATCTCGGAGACAGAGACGTCCACTGCCTGCCAGGAGTACAGGAGCACCTCGAACACCATTGTCACAGTCTCCGACTCCTCACTGCTGAAGTCTCAGTCCTCAGATCTGGGGATCTGGGAAGACCAAAACCTGACTGATAGCCCCAGAAAAACCAAGGCCACCCAGGACCACAGCCAGAGTCCCAGCAAAACAGAAGCCATTCAGGGCCAGAGTTCCGGCAAGACAGAGTCTGCCCAGGACAAGAGCCAGAGTCCTAGTAAAATAGAGGCTGCCCAGGACCGGAGTCCCAGCAAGACACGGGCCGCCCTGGGCAGGAGTCCCAGCAAGACACAGGCCGCCCTGGGCCGGAGTCCCAGCAAGACACAGGCCGCCCAGGGCCGGAGTCCCAGCAAGACACAGGCCGCCC